AGTATAAAATAAGTTTCCAATGAGTCCTCATGAATATAAATGACTAAGTAAATAAATGGAGACAAAAAAGACAAATCTCCTGTGTAGAATTCCAAATAATCTCTGTAGATACTGCCCCCCCCCGACCCCCCACAAGGCAACAGAACTTAACTCTGCCTTTTAAGTGTGGGCTGCCTATAGTAATCTCCTTTCAAAGAAAACAGCATAGAAAGGGGGCCAGGAGGAGAGAGACATACTATCTAAGCCAAGTGACCAAGATTAACATCAACAGTCAAAAGTAATATGGACAGTACGCATCCTTGATATAATGTAGTGACAATGGCACTTTACCTCTGTGATCTTCCTCCCCCAAACCCACAATCCCAGTTCTAATCACGAGAGCAACATCAGACAAATCCCAATTGAGGGACATTCTACAAAATACCTGACCAGAATTCCTCAAAACTGTCAAGGTCATCAAAAACAAGGAAAGTCTGAAAAACTGTCACAGCCAAGAGCAGCCTAAGGAGACATGATGACTAAATGTAATGTGGAATCCTGGATGGGATCCTAGAACAGAAAAGGGACAATAGGTAAAAACTAAGGAAATCTGAATGAAGTATGGATTTTTAATTAATAATAAAGTATCAATATCAATTTATTAATTGTGACAAATATATCATAATAATATATTAATAGGAAAACTGGTTGTGGGAACTCTTCATAATATTTCTATAAATCTAAAGTAAATAAAACGTTAATTTAAAAACAATAAATTAGGTCAGACTAACCTCAATATTAAACAGTCTAACTTGACAGAACTCTAGTCAAATAGTATTCATCAAATCCTTATAGACAAAAATAAGAAGCATGGGCCAGACATAAGGAAAAATAGTTGTGTTTGATGAAGCAATAATAAAAAAAATATTGATTAAAGGACTGAAGGCAAGTAGAATGATTTCTATAAGTATCACAGGGACTAGGTATTCTGGACATGATCTTTTCATGATTATTATCAAGGACTTGGATGCTAACAGAATATATACTAATAAGTCTGCTAATTAGAGGAAACTGGAAAGGATTCTGAATAACAAAATCAAGATTTGAAAGGATTTCGACAAATTACAGAGACAGAAATAAACCTTATTAAAGAATGAAATTAAAGAGAGAAAAAAGTAATATCCTATGTGTCAAAAGACAAAGTATAAAAATGTAAATAGTAGCATTTACTTTAAGTGTGTGTGTGTGTGTGTGTGTGTGTGTGTGTGTGTGTGTGTGTATTGGTGGTTTTAGTGACCTCGTTGAGTTTTGAGAAAGATATGGCTACCCCAAAAGGCAAAGTCATACTAAGTATAAATTGTTAGGATGAAGGGGAGAGAGTATCAATGGCAGTTCATATTTAGGGTACATGTTAAGTTCTGAGATTTACACATTAATGAGAACACCAACAAAATGCACTAAAAAATTAGGTATCATGATTGTAGATTTAAAAGCATGCCACACCAGGAAGCATTTTAGTCTACACAAGAAAAGATGACTTAAGTGTTAACAAGATGGCAATCTTTAATTATCTCAATTGATATGGCTCAAAAAGAGGGACTTATATTCCTGTTCAATAGGCTGTAGAGGTAACACTAGATCCAAAAGATGTAAACTCTAAGAATAGAGTTTTCACAATGACTATTTTCTATTAGAGAGCTAAGAATGGACTAAACCACACAGTTACCATTTTCTAGAAACATTCAAGCAAAGGCCAATGTACTTATCAGTGATGTTTTAGAAGAGAGCAAAAATTGAATTAAAAAAAAAAAGAGCATTCAGTTGGTCTTTCCAATCCCAAGATTATGATTAAAGAAAAGTATTATACAAGTAATATGTAAACCTAAAGTTCCTGTGATATTCAAAGGCCATCTACTTGAATTATGTTGGTTTAGTAGTTACCTTATTCTAGGAGGCTAACATCTTAAAACAAAATCAGCATTTTAAATTTTGAGTCATGCCCACACCCAAAACCGAAAAAATTTCTTATTTAGCTGCGTTTTAGTAGGTCCAAAATCAGTAAAAAATAAATTTTAAAAAATATACTTTTTGCCCATCTGACAAAAAAAAAAAAAAAAAAAGGTATACTTTTTATTAATTCACACCTGATGGCTATTGTTGTGTTGGCTGTTATCATTTTTTTTTATTTGACCACCTTAGAGAAAAGTCAGTGTCCTAAATAATCAGGTATTGCATGTTTTAAAAGTTCTTGCAGCACACTGGCGTGCCTCTTGTGGCATACCCGTGTGCCATAGCACACCAGTTGAAATATCACTGAAATACTATATCAAAACTCAGACTTCACTATAAACTAATGAACAAAGCCTATTGACATGTACTTATTGATCTCTGAGCTCTAGCTCCTCTCTTCAAAGCTGCTATAGGTTAGATTAAGTTAAACCAAGGGGCTGAATATCTATAATAATAAAAGTGTAATATGCTAATTAGATCAGAAGCCAGGGCTGTGAGAGAAGCCAGTGTCAGCAGCTGGGGGAAAGAAAGTCTACTCTTGCACAAATTTTGTGCATTGGGACTCTAGTATAATATAAAAAGTTAAAAGTTCCCCATCCTTTTGAACCATCAAATTTGAAAATGTAAATAAATTAGCATGTCTATGTAAAATATTAGTTCCTTCAACTTTTTCAAAGGAAGAAATGAATAGTTTGTGTGATTATACATAAAATAACTCCCATCAAAGAAGCATTCTAAATAACAGAGAACAAAGTAAAGATTATGGTTGAAAATTCCTTGATCATATAATATTTCTCTGGTTGCTTCATGAGTTGTATGAAAGTCTGACTAGCTACAATCCATCTGCTATTGTAGAAACTCCTCTTGGTTGCACAATCCAAATTATCCCAGTGGCTATGTCAGGTGAAGACCAAGAAATAAAACAGCACAGAGATTGGGCAGACATTTGTTAACAGGAACAATGTTAGGCATATTTAAACAAGGAAATGGAGCACACTTGTGAACACTTAATAAATTTTAAATCTCTGCTAAGGTGAAAGTTTCATTTTTCTACGTTAGCAAAAATGCTCTTGAGAAAAAAAGGAGTTAATTCCTTTTTTATTAACCCTCACCTAAGAATATGATTTTATTGGTATTTTAGAAAGGGAGGGAGAAAGGGAAGGAGGGCGAGGGAAGCATGTAGGGAGGGAGAGAGAGAACACTGATTGTTTGCCTTCCATATGTGCCCCATCCAGGAATTGAACCCGTAACCTTTTGGTGCACGGGACAACACTCCAACCGAGCCAACAAACTGGCAAGGGCAAGGAGTTAATTCTTTATTTTACCTAGATGCCATTTTATTTTATTAGGTTAGGTGCAACAGGGCACATTATAAAAAGGAGAGAAGTTAACGATCTCATTTCAATTCCTGCCTCTGCCTCACATCACTGGCAATGTGATACAGAAAAGACAAGTAATCTTTCTGAGCCTCTACTTTCCGATCTGTAAAACAGAACAATAAAGAGCCTACCTTTTTTCATAGGATCACTGTGAAGGTTAAATGAAACCATGCATATTAAAACTACAATGTAAAAACTATACAGTGTAATTTGATATTACCGTGTTTCCCCCAAAATAAGACATCCTCCGAAAATAAGACCTAGCACATGGAAAGATAAGACATCCCCTGAAAATAAGACCTAGCGCAACGATGGGAGAAAAAATTAATATAAGACATTGTCTTATTTTCGGGGAAACAGGGTATTATTAATATATTACATCAATATTTTTAAAAGTTGAGAACATTAGAAAACGCAATGTCATTATAGCAAAAAACAAACAAATCAACAACATCATAGTGGTATCAATATAATGGAAAGAAAACTAATATGCCAAAGGCAAAAACACACACACTAAGATTCTCAACTTTTAAATGTTTTTCTTCTTATCTTTAATTATGAGTATCTATTCTCCATTTCTCTGAGGTATGGAGAACAGTGCAGCTAATCTGTGGATATCCACAAAGGAAGGGGATACTAAAAATAAACTTCTTGTGAAAGTTTAAAAAACAGATGACATTGCTATAAACTATCAGAAAAGCAATGCAGAAATGGTAAGGAGGGAAGCCATGCAGGAACAACCAGCCAGGAGAGAGGTTTGGAGATCAGCAGGGAAGCCTTTCAGTAAATATCAAAGTACCAGAAGTGTTCACAGCAATGGGTTATTTATACTCCCTTCTTAGAGCCTTCATAATTTGCTATCATAATGCAAAATTCTTAGATTCTGCAATCAATCAACAGGAAAAGTTAAAACAAACAATGGAAGCAGCTTATTTAATTCTCTAATTAAATACCTTAGGAAAAGTTAGAGTGAAGCTGGGCACTTTCCAAAAACAATCTCAAGTTCTAAAGACAACAACTGTGCCCTTCTTTGTAATATATACAATTTTTGGACTCCAAACATTGGTATGCATATTAGTGATTTAGCCATCTAAATACTTCCAACAGTATACCAGCCAGTCTGAGTTTAACTGGGGTGTTTATTGCCGAACTCATACAATAACAACAAAGTTGGATAAAATAAGACTGAGCAATAAGCTGCTTGAGAAACAATACTAATCTTAGAGACAGAATACTTGAGAGTTCTAGCACTAATTTTGAATTCTATTTTTAAGAAAATAATTTAACTACCCTAATTCTGCATCTCCATCTGTCAAGTAAGTTAGATATTAAATATAGCCAGATTGCCACCTGTCAGGATTATGTAAAAGAAATACTTCTGTTAAAGAGATGTTGGGGGGGGGGGAATTAGTTTCTCTGTAATGGTAAGATTCTAAAGTCCTATAAATATCTTTCCCCCAAATAAAATAAAAATGAAGGGCCTCAACTATCTCAGATAAAATGTAATTAAATGATCCTTGTTTGGAATATCTTGAGATGAATTATATTAAAACAATTTTAAGTACTTAATTTTTTCTGATCTAATGGTTTTTTTTTTTCTCTTTTCTCGTTCTCTCTCTCTAGAAAATTTACCTTTATCCTTATCCAATGGTTCCTGGGAAAGAATAGTGCACAGTACCGGGTTTTTCCACACCCCAGTCTCTTGAGCTAGAGTAGCTAAAAAATGCAATTCACAGCTGCCATTCTCCATCAGCTTTTCATGAGCTACCTATAAATATTAAATAAACATCCAAAGAATTACAACAGATTTTTAAAAGCAAGCTTATTAGGCTTTAAATATAATACTAAACTTTTGAAAAGTAAGACTTTTTTCTTCAAATTTTCATGCCACAGTACAAAGTGCTAAATTCTTTTATTTCTGACTTTTGAAGTCAAATCTCAAGGATAAGCTTATATTATTATAAATTTTAAATGAAAACAATGTATTGTTATAAATAAATCCATATTAATTTTTCTCCAAAATCTAAACCAAGAGCAAGGTTATTTCTCAAGGAAGTTATCAAAATATCCATAGCATGAAAGACCTTCATTTACATCCCGTGTTAGTAAAATAATTTTCAAAAACTTCTACCATTAATAAATGACAGACCTGCATCAAGGCCTAAGTGACAACTTACACATATTCCAAAAAAAAAATTTATAAAAACAAACCAACTAAATGCATGATTTTTCATTTATTCACTACAAAGCCTTGGCAAAATCCTATTCAAACTGACACAAAACTTACTTATTCGTTCTTCCAAACGTTCATGCAATTGGCATATTCCATAGAACCACCAAAGATCAGTAATTTTTATTCAATTCAAAAATGTTTACTGAGAATTTCTGTGGACAAAATACTAGGGAAGAGAACAACTAGTCCCTGTGTTTATGGGGTTTATCCTCTAGTGGAGTAAAAAAATATTTAAACAGTTAACACACAGGTAAAATGAAACAAATGCTGTTATAGATATAAAATAACCCTGAGGAAGCTCTAAAGTAGGAGAAAAGTGTCATGGAAACTTTTAAAACTGCATGCTAGGTTCATACAGAACAGCTATTCCTCAACACCATGAAACTTTCCCACTGCAACAATTTCAAGTGCTTTAAAATTTTTCTCTGAGCAATTGCTCAAAATATTATAGAGGAATTTAAAGAGTTATTTCCTTTGCATTAACTCACATAAAAAAGCATCAATTAGTCCTATTGTTTTAAAAAGAAAAGTTTAGAAGTTTATCTTATGCTGACAAAAAATTTAAGTATCACGAGGGATTCAGTAGTATATTTGTATATAAACAACTTATTTAATTCAGTGTAGAGTGTATTTGAATGCTAAACAATGAAAAGTTCTGAATTATTTACCTAAAAATAAACACACTAGGAAAAAAAACCTAAGACACAAGGAATGATATGCTGAAGCAGAAATTGCATGATTAAAAGTTAGTTGCAATGTGACAAACAGGACAAGACACTATCATTTCAACAAACACTTTTTAAATATCTATTATGTATAAGACATAATAGAATCCAAAGTTATTAAGATATGAATCCTACCTTCCAGAATTCTGCACTTGATAGTTTAATACTTAATATTAAATAGAAAAATTGATTTCTCTAAGTATATTTCACATGCTTCTAAAATTTGAGATTATCCTCTTTAATACATTTCCTACAGAAAAACATAAGGCCAAAGGATATTTTAAGAACTCTGGCTAGAGAAAAAGGCAACTATATATTTTTAAAACTAGCTAGCAGGAACATCTCTTTTAACCAAGTGATCAAAATTTACTCGAAGCTATAATATATCCAGCACAATCTAGTGCCTGAAACAAAGTTTAATGTTCTTAAAAATGCTCCAAAATAACTAAATGCAAAATTGTGTAGTACTCATCTAAATAGAATAAAAACCACTAAATAAAAGAAATAAAAAGCATGTATTTTCAGCTCTAGGAAAAAAAAGAAGCATGTGCTTTGGAATGAAAAACCTGGGTTCAAATAACTACTCTCATATTAGCTGCATAAGTACAGGAAAATAAATATTTTAGATTATGAGCCTCAGTTTCCTCACCTTTAAAATGGGAAAAAACATACCTACCCCCACAAACGTTTTCTTAACAATCAAGTGAGACAAAAAAAAAGAAGTGAGATATGTTAAATTCTTATTAAGTATATTGCAGATTTTCAATATTAGTTTAACTGTTCCTTAATACAAATGAGGACATTTTCTTTTGCGTTACCTTACTGCTCAGACAAAGTCGTTTAGTTACCTGATCTTCAAGAACAGTGTATTATTCAACCAAACTACCTAAATGTGTAAATTCACTTAGGAAACATTTTTTGAGCATCTACTATATCCAAGACACCAGTGTTAATAACAATAGCAATTAAAATTTGTTGTTAGGTTTTAAAGTTTAACCCAATAATGTATTAAGAATAAAGAAAACTAACTTAAAATGTACCTATATTAAACCTAACAGGTAAATATTCTCACCTGCACCAGTGTCTGAAATTGTTCCCACTGTTTATCTGATAACTCAACAGGCAGACACAGCAGAAGTTCAACACAGCTTCTAAAAAAAAGGCAAAAGATATATATAATTATTAAAATTTGAAGTAAAATAAAATGAATTCTAACATTATCAGTAGACGTCCCATAACTAATCTATTTAAACTATCATAAGAGCTAAGATATAAAATTAAAACAAAAAAAGCTAAACCTAATTTTTATTTACTCAAAGGTCTACTCACAATGCCAAGCGTTCCAGAACCAATGCTACATTTTCACACTCAGAGGTAAGATAAGGTCGGGCTTTAACATAACTTTGGATGGCCACTGTGTATACCTCCAACAAAGGAAAGGGATCTTCTGAGGTTTTCCATTTCTCTGCATATTCAAGGAGTGTCTGTTTTGGAAGGAATAATAAAAAGTATTCAATGTAAATCAAAATACACATTGACTAATCAACTGTTTTTCTTTCCTCCCTGAGAAATTTTAAAAATAATTTTCTATTTATAAAAGCAAAAATTAGTTTATACTGGTTAAAATGTTCAAAGTTATAAAACCATAGTCTTATTTCCAATTCTCTCTAGGGTGAAAAAAAAGTGTTAATTCATCCAACAGTAGCATCATTTCATAAAGGCTGGTGTTAAATGGTATAAGCATTATCTCCTTTCTACTCTAGTCAAAATGCCAGCTTTCACTCAAAATTTCTAAGATTTAAGTTATTTTAAGTAAAAGACATCTGGGCAAGTAATACTAGACCAAACATGCAATGAAGAATTTAAGAGTATTTGTTTTGTGTGTGTGTGTGTGTGTGTGTGTGTGTGTGTGTGTGTGTGTGTTTGTAAGGAGTATAAAATTCAACACATAAAAATAAATGAATCACATATAGCCACAAAAAAACATGTAGTTTTTCCAGTTAATAAAAAATTATAGCACATAACATTAATGTCTTTTATGACAAGTTTAACATTTAAAAAAATCACCTAAAGACCTTCAACAAATGTAATCAATATTAAAGACTAATTACAAGGTCAAGTGATTTTTGTAATGAAGTGCTTATTAAATTAAAAACACCTCTTATTCCTTAATAAAGTACTTATTTCAAATTCACCTTATCACAGAATTATCAAAAAAATAAACAGCACTTTTATGCTGTCTATCCTACAGAATAAAGAGATAGAATAAACAGATACAGTAGTTAAACACCCACATGTTAGGATAACTACTAAAATCACAAATTACTAAAAACGATTTAAAAGATTCTAGAATTATGCTAAATGAAGTAGGGCTCTAATTAAATGTTTTTTAAAATATAAGACTGACACAATTAGTCCTCTTCACACTTCAAAGTTTAAGATTCATCTCATCACATGTGAAAATTCAGATGTCATTTCCCAGAAAGGATGTGATTTTGAAGAAAACTTCACAAGGGCTGTGTCCTCTGGCATCCAGAAGCAACTTAACCTCCCCCTCCCTCTCACCCCCAACTGTAGTCAGTAGCTAGGAAGGAAGAAGAGACAGCAGGAAGAAAAGAGGAAATGAACGTTCAAAAGAAAACACATACTGCCTTATCCTGTCTCTATTAACCTCTAATTAGCAGAAGTAGTAAGTGATCACAGAGAATAAGAAAGAAAGGAAGAACAAAAATGGTAATCTGGCAAATGTATGGACAACACAATAGCCCTAGCTGGCTTGGCTCAGTGGATAGAGTGTCAGCCTGAAGACCAAAGGGCCCTGGGTTCAATTCCCATCAAGGCAAGTACCTTGGTTGCAGGCTCCTCTTTGGCCTGGGGCCCTGGTCTGATCTTGTGCAAGAGGCAACAAATCAATGTGTTTCTCACACATTGATATTTTTCTGTTTTTCCCTCTCTAAAAATCAATGGAAAAGTATCAAGTGAGAATTAAAAAAAATAATTAATTAAAAAGGGGAGCAATATAATAAAAACTCACTTTCTGAGTAATCAGATAATCATGGACCCTGATCCCTCTAAGTTGGACAAAAGTGAGGTAACCTAAAGACCCAGTACTTACAACTGGCATCTGAAGTTAGGGCCATCTTGTGGGACTAAGCCCTTTAACCTGTGGAGTCTGACACTAACTCCAGCTAGTGTCAGAATTGGATTGAATTGTAGGACACCTACTATTTGGTGTCAGAAGTCAAAACGATCTCTCAACAGGACTTACAAAATCTAAACAAAACTTGCCAAATGAATGGGAAAATCTGCATTCTGGGATTCTTCTATGATTGTCCCTCTACTTTTAGGAATAAAACTGAGTGTGATGTTCTACATCTAAAAAAATGTTACATGAGCCCTAGACGGGTTGGCTCAATGGTTAAGAGTGTCAGCCATGGACCAAAGGGTTTGGGGTTCAATTTCCAGTCAAGGGCAAGCACCTCAGTTGCAGGTTTGATCCCAGATCTGGGTTGGAGCATGCAGGAGGCAATGAATTGATGTCTCTCTCACATGATGTTTCTCTCTGCTTTTCCCCCTCCCTTCTTCTCTCTTTCTCTCCCTCTCTAAAAACAGAAAAAAAAGAAAAAGTATCTCTGGATTAGGATTAACAACAACAACAAAAGCAAATTATTTGCATAACTGCATAAAGCTATGAGAGTTGATATTCATAATCATCAAGTATAGTATACTATAGTGTGTATTATGGACAGGCCTGAGATAGGAGAAATACAAACCAAAATAAGGTTAAAGGATCATGCTCTAAGGAGATCTCCAACACAGCGTTTCTCAGCCTCTTCTATCATCCACTCCCAAGGAGCCTTTTAACTTTTTCCCTAACTGTCCCCCCATCCCCATTGATATGCAATACTACAGATATATTATAGTGTTTCTGTTTATAGGACACACACACACACACACACACACACGCATTCTATATAATAAAAGCCCAGCAGCCATAATGACTGGGGAACAACTGCTCCACCATTTACTATGAGATGCATTGACTACCTCTTGGTCCCCGACCCCTACTTCCAGCCGGCAGGCTCCAATCACAGCATGCCGAAAGAGGAACTATGGGGAACCGGGTGGGTGGCAGCAGGGCAAGACTGAAGATTGGTGAGCAGGCAGGACAGCCAACCTCTTTGTCCCTCCCCCCAGCCCGCAGGCTCTGATGGATCAGTGGTGGCTGCGGGGCAGAACTGGTGAATGGGCAGAAGATGACCCTGATTGTATATCAAGCATCTTCTTAGATCACAGTTGCCTAACTACAATAAAAACAATTAAAAAAATTAAACATCTAGAGGCAAAATAGCATCCTATTAAAGTCACTGGGTTACCAAAGAGATCAAAGAAAAAAAAAATAAAGCTTCATGGCAACAAACAACAATAAAAACACAACAATACAAAATCTATGGGTCACAGTGAAATTAGTCTTGAGAGGAAGTTCATAGCTCGACAGGACTATCTCAAAAAACAATGATAATAAATTATCTAACCCTACAACTCAAAGAGTTAGAAAGAAAGCAACAAGAAAAGCATAAGCAGAAGGAAGGAAATAATAAAGATCAGAGTGAAGATAAACAGAAACAAAACAAAAAACAACAATACAAAATATCAACAAAACCAAGAGCTGGTTCTTTGAAAGGATAAACAAGATTGATGAACCTCTAGCCAGGCTCACCAGGAAGCAAAGAGAAAGGATCCAAATAAACAAAATCAGAAATTAAAGAGGTGAAGTAACAACCGATCCCACAGAAATACAAACTATTATGAAAAAATACTATGAACAACTCTATTCCAACAAAATGGACAACCTAGATGAAATGGACATCTTCTTAGAAAAATATACGCTCCCAAAACTCAACCAAGAAGAATAAAAAAGCCTGAATAGGCCGATAACTACTGAAGAAATTAAAACAGTGATAATCCCACTTCTAGGATTATATCCCAAGAAACTAGAAACAACAATTAGAAAGGATATATGCACCCCTATGTTCATAGCAGCACAATTCACTATAGCTAAGATTTGGAAACAGCCTAAGTACCCATCAACAGATGAGTGGATTAAAAAAACTGGTACATATACACAATGGCATACTATGCTGCAGTAAAAAGCAAGGAGTGCTTACCATTTGCAACAACATGTATGGAACTGGAGAGCATTATGCTAAGTGAAATAAGCCTATGAGAGAAAAATATCACATGATCTCACTCATTTATGGAATATAATGAACAAAAACAGACCCAGAGACAAAGAAGCATCCATCAGACCATCAAACCTTAGAGGGAAGTTAGGGAAGAGTGGTGATAGGGAGAAAGCTCAACCAAAGGACTTGTATGCATGCATATAAGCCTAACCAATGGACACAAACAACAGGGGTAAGGACATGGGGGGCGGGGGGGCGCGGCGCGGGAATGGGAGGTAATGGGAGAATAAGGACACATATTTAACACCTTAATAAATAAATTTTAAAAAAAATCTACCAGCAAACAAAAGTTCTGAACTAGATGGTTTTACAGGGGAGTTTTACCAAGCATTCAAAGAAGAAATAAAACCTATCCTCTTCAGACTATTACAAAAAATTCAAGAGGAAGGCACACTCCCAAGCTTTTTCTATGAAGCCAGCTTTACCCTAATCCCAAAATCTGATAAAGACACTACAAGAGAGAGAGAGAGAGAGAGAGAGAGAGAGAGAGAGAGAGAGAGAGAGAGAGAGAGAGAACACGAACAAACACTACAGGCCAATATCCTTGATGAACACAGATGCTAAAATCCTCAACAAAATTCTAGCAAATTGGATTCAACATACAATTAGAAAGATCATACACCATGACCAAGTGAGATTTATTCCAGGGATACAGGATGGTACAATATCCGCAAATCAATAAACGTGATACATCACATAAACAAACTGAGAGACAAAAATCACATAATTGTATCAATTGATGCAGAAAAAGCATTTGACAAAATCCAACACCTTTTCTTGATTAAAAGCTCTCAGCAAAGTGGGAATAGAAGGATCATACCTCAACATAATAAAAGCCCTGTATGACAAACCTATAGCCAACATCATTCTCAATGGGTAAAAACTAAACCCACCCCCCCTAAGAATAGGAACAAGACAAGAATGTCCATTTTCTCCACTCCTGTTCGATATAATACTAGCCATAGTGATCAGACAAGAAGAAATGAAAGGAATCCAAATTGGAAAAGAAGTAAAACTGTCAATCACAGATGATATGATACTATTCATAGAAAAACACAAAGACTTCATAAAAAACTATTAGACCTAATAAATTAATTTGGCAATGTATCAGAATACAAAATGAACACCCAGAAATATATGGCTTTTTTACATACCAATAATGAACTCACAGAAAAAATAAAAAAAACAATCCCATTTACCACTGCACCAAAAAAATTTAGATACCTAGGAATAAACTT